CTTCCCCCGCCCCCAGCCCGCGCAAGGTCCCAGAGCGATGGCGAAGGTGCGCACACCTTCGCCATCGCTCTCTGACCTGCTCTGCGGGCTGGGGAGAAGCGGGCCCCGCCCGCGCGAAGGTCCCAGAGCGATGCCGAAGGTACACACCTTCGCCATCGCTCTCTGACCTGCTCTGGCGGCTGGGGGCGGGGGAAGCTCCGGCTTCCCCCGCCCCCAGCTCCTGCAAGCTCCGGGAGCAATGGCAAAGGTGCGCTCACCTTCGCCATCGCTCTCGGACCCTTTCTGGGGGCTGGGGGTGGGGGAAGCTCTGGCTTCCAGCCCCGCAAGCTCTGGGAGTGATGGCGAAGGTGCGCTCACCTTTGCCATCGCTCTCGGACCCTTTCTGGGGGCTGGAGGCGGGGGAAGCTCGGGCTTCCCCCACCCCCAGTCCCGCAAGCTCCGGGAGCCACTCTGGCTCCCATTCTGGGGGCTGGGGTCGGGGGAAGCTCGGGCTTCTCCCGCCCCAGCCCCGCGTCTGGGGGGGGGGAATAATTTTTTCCCCTTTATTTCCCCCCCAAAATCTAGGTACGTCCTATGGGCCGGTGCGTCCTATAGGGCGAAAAATAGGGTAGTCAATATAGGCACAGAGTTAATTTTTTAAACATTTTCTAATGGTGGTGTGCCTTGAGATTTTTTTCATGAAACAAGTGTGCCTTTGCCCAAAAAAGGTTGGGAAACACTGGTTTAGACCACAGTGCCACCCACGTCCCTGTGGTTGCTTTAGGCAACAGCTAATCCTCTCCTTGTTGGACCACTGAAAGCAAACAATGTGTGTTTTAAGGAAAATAAACCGAGGGCGGGGAAAATCTGCAGTTCCTAAAATTGAGAGCCTCGTGGCCAGTGGAAATCCCACGAAGGTTATTTCCAGCTTTCATTCATTTAGCAACCACAACCAGCAGGTTTTTCCAAGCTTTCTCCCAAAAGGGATAAAAATCCAATCTTTTAAAAGCAGTATTCAAACCACTGGTGCTGGTCACGTATTTTGCTTCTTGGTCACTCATTTCTCTTTAATTCTTTTTGATTCTACCTGCTGAGTACCTTGTGGAAAAGACAGAGAAAGTTCAGAAAAGAGGAAGTAATAGGGCCATTTCTGCAAAGTTCTGGAGTTAGGGCACTGAAAATTTCAGCCCCACCCCAGTTGCTGCAAGTTGCAGTTGCTGGCAACAATCACACCTCACCTTGTGTGTAATTCCTATATCCATACGAAGCCCCAACCATCAGAACCTCTTCCAGTCTGCAAAGGAGACAGTCACAGAGTAACATAACACAAGGACATAGAAGTGTCTAGCAACCTAGGAATAGTCACCAGAAACCTGTACTGCCTTTTCTGCACACACCATTTCCTAGCAACTGTAGCAGATTAGCTTAGACCAGGCATGGCCAAACTTGGCCCTCCAGCTGTTTTGGGACTACCATTCCCCATCATCCCTGACCACTGGTCCTGTTAGCTAGGGATGATGGGAGTTGTAGTCCCAAAACATTAGAGGGCCAAGTTTGGCTATGCCTGGCCTACGCAGAGGACACATGCTCTGAACCAACTTCACCTGCTATTTCAAGCATCATATACATATTAAAACAATATTTGCCTAGATCAGTTTCCCAAAACTTAGGTCTCCAGCTGTTGTTGGACTACAATTCTCATAATCCCAGCTACCAGGACCAGTGGCCGGGGATGATGTGAACTGTAGTCCAAAAGCGGCTGGAGCCCCAAGTTTGGGAAACCCTGGCCCAGCTGAAGGGTGGAGAGATGAGTAGCATAGAAGCCTCTGGATTCTCCACAGCTGAAATGTAGCCACCATATCAAGATAAGAGTCACTGTGGCTCCATCCATTCCTTGCCTCTGGCCCCACCCACCACTGCCACCCTAAAGATTGACTTGAGGGAATGAGGCCCTTGAGCTGAAAATCCTCCCCTCCCCCTTCTTAGTTAGAGTGTTCAAAGCATTTCACATGGATTTTCTCAGAAATCCGAACAGCAATGTAATGTAGGTCTTAGTACAATGGTACCTCGGGTTAAGTACTTAATTCATTCCGGAGGTCCGTCCTTAACCTGAAACTGTTCTTAACCTGAAGCACCACTTTAGCTAATGAGCCTCCTGCTGCCGCCGCGCTACCGGAGCACGATTTCTGTTCTCATCCTGAAGCAAAGTTCTTAACCCGAGGTACTATTTTTGGGTTAGCGGAGTCTGTAACCTGAAGCGTATGTAACCTGAAGCATATGTAATCCAAGGTACCACTGTATTCCCCTATTGCAGATGGGGGCCTAAGCAGTCATGGCATGCCTGTGGGCAACTACTGAGTTCGTGGTCAAGTCAAAACTTGAACCCAAGGTGTTCCCGCTGCAATACCATGGTTTGAAGGAATTCTACTCAAATTCATGGGATAAAACTGCCTCCTCGCCTCCCCTTCTGCTTACATATCCAGTTTGCTGAGTTCAGTCCGCTTCCGGGTCCCGTGCCCAACGGCCAACACCTCCTTCATCCATACATCTGGCTCCAAAGTCTGTATCCTGGCTTCCCGATGCACCTTGCCATCTCCCCACGGCACAAATCTCCCATGGGCTCCTAGGAAAGAGGCAGCCAGGCTGTGGCTTAATTCTTCGTCTCTAGAGGGTATGGGAAGCAAATGTGCATAACTGCCCAGCCATCAGATGGCTGAGGTCATCCTTCCCCAACAACTCATGTCAAACATGAAGCACAGCTAAAATGGTGCCATCTGAAAAGCACCTTGGAGAGCCCAGATTGGGAAGCGGCTGGCCCCTCTCATCTCCCCAAGCAATGCTCACCTGGTCCAATCCCGATATATTGACTCCCTTGCCAATAGGACAGGTTGTGGGTACTAAGTGCCCCCTGCAGGGGAAAAAGAAACAGAACAGCATAACCACTAAGGAATAGGTAGTCCAGGGTTACACCATGCTGGGAACCCTTTAGCGACCGACTCCTGAGGACGCTCAGCAACTCAGTGGATCCAGCATTCAAGTTTTGTGAGAAAGCGGAAAGCTCAGATTTAAAGCTCTCTCTTGGGATGGGAACTAAGCCTTCTGACTATCGGTCTCAGCCTGTGCCTACTGCCTTCAATAACATGCTCTGTTCTTTGCTAAGAAGGCATCCTCAGAGCATGTTTGCTTCACTTCTGTAGCTGGATAATATTCTTCTCTTTCTTTCCTACACATACACAAGCAAGCAAGCAAGCTTATTTCATTATCTGAAATTATTTTGTCTACTCCCTTCTGCTTAGGCAAGAGGAACCCCGCCACCAATCCATTTGAAGACTGGATGAGACCCATGGGTGCTTCTCTGCATATCCCCCTCGGTGGGGGGGGGGTTGTTTTGTGGTTTTTTGGAGTGGTTGCAACTGAAGAGGGAAGGGTTAACCATATCCTGCAACCCCCACACTGAAAAAAGCTCCTCTTGCTTGTCAGGCTTGAAAACTCACCCTCCCTCCCTCCCTCCCTCCCTCCCTCTCTCTCTCTCTGTGTGTGTGTGTGTGTGTGACAGCACACGGGGAGAAGGTTAACCATTCCCTTAGCAGCTATGACCCTCAACCCCAGTTACCCTCCACCTGTGGCAATTGTGTTGAAAAAAAGTCTTCCAATGACTCCAATGGGAAGCTGTTTTCAAGCTTAGCTGTTGCATATGTGTGTGTGAGAGCGAGATCTTTGTGGAGACTGCAACTCCAATGCTTTTTCAAGCCTAATTATTTGGAGGTGCGGTCAGTGTGTGTGTGTGTGTGTGTGTGTGTTGGGGCGGGGAGAAAACAAACATGAATGGGTATTGGTACGGCCTGTATTATACGTGAGAATGAATGGAAGCGGGTGACATACTCATGAATTGATGTGTGGGGAAGATTAACAATGTTTGGATGCTGCCCTTGGACTGAGTAAGGTCCCCACTCCTGATTTAGGCTATATAGCAGAGGTTCTAGGCAAAGTAACAGACTTACATTCCTAGCGAAATTGGAGACCTCGTACTGATGGAAACCTGAATTTTGCAGAACATGCCGGGAGCACTCGTACATCTCTGATACTACATCTGGATCAGGCATGGGCAGGGTGCCCTGGTGGACTTGCTTGAAAAGCGAAGTACCCCTCTCCAGTGTCAGCTGGTAGAGAGAGATGTGGTCATCACACACGGTGAGCAGTTCCTCCAGACCCTGGATCCACGATGCATTGGTCTGACCCGGGAGTCCAAATATGAGGTCAATGGAAGTACGGCCTGCAAAGAGTTTCTTGGCTTCTTCTAAAGTTCGTAGAGCGTCACAAGATGTGTGGTTCCTTCCAAGGAGTTTCAGCTCTGTATTATTAAGTGACTGTTGATGAGGACAGGAAAACATGAGTATATTTGCCTCATTTATCAGGGGAAGAAGTGCAAGTGTCAGGAAAGAGATATGAGTAAGGCAAGAGTGAAAGCACTATTAGAGCATGAAGATTTCTGAATGTCAGGTGCAAGCAAGAACCAATGGGAGCAAAAAGTGAAGAGTCTGGTGGCCAAAAAACAGTTTGTAAGAGAGATTTCCCATTTCCTCCCTCTCCCCTTTGAAATACATTCTGGGGGGGGTTGATCAGAGCAACAAAGGAGGTGTGTGTTTTAACTCCTTCCCCGACTGAAATCTCACACTGACCCCCAGGTTGTTCTTTGCCCTTGCCAAATTTAACTCTTACTTTTAAAATTGTGGATGTTGAAAAATAGTAACAGGAAAGGAATTTCTCACAGGTCAGATTGGTGGTTATTCTGGACTATTCTGAGATATTTACTCCATAAGTAACTGTTTGCTGTTTCTGGCACACTATGGGCAGGAAAGCAGAGGAAGAGAGATGCTGAAGAATGGAGTGGCAAGCTCAATCATTTTTGACAAATGCAAGTTGCCAAAGGTTTCCATAAATGCTTTTTAGAAACTTCTCCCGAAAGGAATATTGTAACTGGATCAGCACAGATTAATACAGCCCTGAAAGCAATGCACCCGTCACCTTACCTGGACACCAATGGAGAGGCGATTGATACCAGCTTTCTGGAACTCAGCCAGGCACGAGGCATCTGCTGAAGTGGGATTGGCTTCCAGTGTAACCTCAGTGCCTTCTGCTAAATGGGCACACTGGGAGACAGTGTCCAGGACAGCAGCAATGGTGAGCGGGTTGGCCAGGCTTGGCGTCCCTCCACCAAAGAACACTGATGTGATTCTGCAAAACCAAGGAGACGGTGAGGGGGACATATCTGAGGAACCCACAGTGTTGAGCCATATACGTCTCAGCCATACATCTCATTGCCTTTTTTTGTCTACTGCTTTTCAATAAAATAAATAAATCTTCCTATAGCAGTTTACAAGCCACTTAACAAATATACAACATAATGTTCCCACTGATCAGAAAGACTTCAAACCTCTGTAGGATTTCACAAAAGCCACTGTCCTTTAATGGTGAAGAGCATCTGTACTGAATATATTTGGCTTATTCCAAACCACTAAAATTCCCAACGCAAGAGCAGCTGCTGGCTTTGTTGTAAAACTCATCTCTTTCCTGTTCCTTCCCAAGTTCCCTGACTGTAAATCCTGACTGTTCAAAACCTCCCCCTCATCTTCCACTATACTAACCTCTTGACTTGGCTGAGTTGGATCAGGGTCTGGGCCTCCTGAACAAGACAGTTCCTCATTTTCTGCTCATCAAGATTTCGGGGAATGTACTTGTTGAAGTTGCAGTAGCTGCAGCGTTTCTCACAGTAGGGCCACTAAGAGACCAAGGAAACAATAGAATTCTTATTTGTTAAGACCAAGCACACTTTCTGGTACCTTCACCCTACTGTGTCCTGCTATCGTCAACATCTTGCCAGACCAAAGCCTGTAACACTTCTACCTACCAAGAGGGGCAATCAATAAAATGGCTTGGAATGCAAAATATTTAACTCTGCACTCATTCTACCCCAAAGGCACATAGTGACCACCAGCATGTTTTTAAAACATGGTGGATTCAAAATACAAATATACTTATTGCACTATAGACTTAGTCCTACTCAACAGAGTTTAATCTCGGCCAATAAATGCCAGCCCAAGTAAAAACAACCACCACAAAACCTGTTTTATTTCATAAAGATGCTCTATCTGTAGCTTTGGCTAAACTTCAGGCTTTCCAGTCATCGTGACCATCATGTCTTTCAGACCGTATATTTGTGGGCAGGTGAAATGTTTAAGAGAGGACTCTACAAAGGAGTATGTGGGAAATTTAACCTGAGGGTAGGCAGCATTGAATTCAATAGGACTTCATTCTGTGGAGATATGGTTAGTATTGCATTATGAATTATGCTTGGGAAGAGGATGATTGCTGGAGGAAGTGTAGCACAAGGCAACCTAGTCTTCTACACTTGCTATGACAACGCCCCAGCATGAACTTGTTCTGAAATAAAATCAGTTGTGGTTCCAAACACAATTTTGGAATTACGTGGGGAAGAGCAAGAGCAGAATGGTTTTTTTTTTAATACCAATTCACAGAAAGTCAGCACAGGTGGTTTTCCAGGACTCTTTCCTGAAGAGGGCCTCCAAAAATAACCCAATTACTCATGGGAATGTGTTACATATATTCTTTCTGATGCGTTAGGTTTTGTTGTTTTTAAGATTTAGGAGCATTCCTATAACCCCCCTCAGTTGGAAATCATATCACACTGCTCAGGAAGCAACAGCCTGTCAAGCTAATGATGTGTATTTTGTCTCTTAAATAGACAGAAAAAAAGACAAAGGCAGACATGGAAGAGTGAAGGCAATGAAAGACTGTCAACTATGAGAGAGGTGTGCTTAGTTTGGGGTAAATGCCACGTTGCCAGGTATTTATGTTTCAGAGGAAGTCTGTTGGGCTTTTGGCTGAGCAGAATGCATTATACACTTCTTAGAAACTAGATCAGGTAGATAAATCTCTATGGATCTGAACACACACACACATACACATACAGACACACACACACACACTGATCTGTCCGTAATATTTTCCCTCCTCAGTTATGGTGCAACTCTCTTTGAGTCATAACCATCTGGGTTGTGATGGTAAAACACATGCAAGTCCTCAGTAAGAGGGGGTCGGGGGGTGAATGGAAGAGACATTATCACCATCATGCACATGCGCAGAGTGAGAACCGCTCCGTCGAGGAAGCGCACTGTACTTGCACCAGTTCAGACCCCACGCAAGCGCACTGGAGGTGAGGGAAAGAGGCCTGCAAAGGAAACAGGGCAAACCCTCCTTCCGGACTTAGAGAACGCCTAAGGAACGGCGCATGCGCACTTTACTAAAAGGGGTGTGTGGAAGGTATCCCCGGCAGTCGATTTGGCGGGAGTTACTCAGCGCCTCAGGAAAAGGAGGAGCAGCTTTACTTCGCGGTCCGCATGCGCAAAAGTCCGTTTTACAACGCTCGCGGGGAAGCCGGCGTGCGCAAGCGCATAAAATGTTTTCCCCTCTCTCGCGCGCGGTGGGTCCGCTTCCCGCCGGACTCACGTGGACGTAGAGCGCGGCTGTCGCCGCCGCTTCCGGAGCGGGAGGCCGAGGGCGGAGCTGCGCGGCGGAGGCGCCTCCGAAGAGCCTCTCTGGCGGCGGCCGAACTGCCCTTAGGCCAGCCGGGAGCGCCGCCCTGAGCTTGCCAAGGGCGCCCATGCCGCTCGGCGCTGCTCTCGGGCCCCGGAGATCTCTTCCGGCTCCTGACGGGCAGAGGCGACGAGGAGTCCGCCCCTAGCGACGGGGAGGGCAGGGGGCGGGAGAGGCTGGGCTCGGCTGGAGCTTCTCTGACCCACCTTGCTTTGCACGGTGAAAATACTGTAAATAAATAATGCGCTTTTTTAATAATAAAAAAAACCCGGCCCCTTTTCTTCTCTGCAAAGATCTAGCATGAGAACTCGCAGGATGGCGGTTAACGGAAGTGCAACTCACTAAGCATGTGCAGAGTGCGCTTTATAGTTTTCAGCACTCATCGAGCGGTATCTCGCGCGCGCGCACGTAACCCTGGGATGGGTTGGTTGCATAGCTGTCAACTTTCAGATTTGAAAATAAGGGATCAGCAGCCTCACCTGTCCCGGGGACAATCTATGGGATATCTAACAATCCGGGGATAGCAGCGGGAAACGACGCTGGAATAAGGGAATTTCCCGCGAAAAAAAGGGAAGGTTGACAGCTATGGTTGGTTGGCGTGTCAGCACTAGACCTGGGGACAACCGTTATTATTTCTTCGCCTGACCCGCCTCAAAGGGGGGTTGGGAGAATATAAATTTGCAGGAGAGGAGGAGGAAGTGGGGGGCGGTAGGGACTGCGCAAAACTCTGCTTGGAAGATGAGTGGAAGGAATTCTATAGATAGATTCATGGGCAGGTGTGTGTGTGTGTTATCTCACATAAATCTAGAGCAGGGTTTTCAGTACAAATATAGACCCTCAGCGCTTGTAGGACTCATTTATGAAACTTATGGTTTGGCTTTTTGGAAATAGCCCCAGAACTGGTTGCTGAAGTGTCTGGTAGCGACAGGCAGTGGGGATCATGGAAACAAGCAAAGCACGTGGCTTTTCCCAAAGAATCCCAGGAAATGTACTCCTTACAGAGGTTCAGCACCCTTAACAAACTAGTCCCCAGGGTTCTTTGGGGGATGTCAACGTGCTTTCAATGTATGTTGTATACACAGCCATGGACAATCTTCTCCATTGCTTTGGAACTTCACCCCCCCCCCATTTACCCTCATTAACCTGTGAAACAGGACACACCTAGGAAAAACAGAATAAAAACCTAATAACGACCTTTGAAAAGCCCTAGGGCATGGAGTTATTTACTCCGGGACACTTTTTTATTTTAGCTGAATCAATATGTAGGTTATGCTATATCAGGCATGTCCAAAGTCCGTTTTAGGAACTTTGATTGGCCCCCACGGCCCTTCTCTTCATCAAGTCTGGCCCTCTTTGAAAAAAGTTTGGACACCACTGTGTTATATAAAGCACATGAAGTACGGTACCTTGAATTGGTGGGTCAACATCTGTGATATCATGCGCAAGCCATTGAAATGACTACAGTTCCAACAGCTAGACAGCAGATGGCACACCTATGCTTTCTGGAGGTAGTGCGGTCACTTGGTAGCTATTAAGAGTACAACCCAAAAATATCAGATGCCTCTTAGTATTTCAGAAGACTCCCAACCATGGCAACAAAAGGTCGAGCAAATGAGAGGCTAGTTAGCGTCACACACAAATACACAAACTGCCTGGCTTCTGGTCTTATACAAATCATTTAATACTGTACTTTAAAGTCCCAATTATCCACCCCTTAGGGGAGAACGTGTATGCTACAGCTGGAAGAATGCATTTATATTCTCTCCCATGAATTCCATCCTGCAAATAGAAAGTTGTCATTTGAGGGACGATTTCATCCATGTAAAAATGTGGAAGTAGTTTCTGGATTTGTAGAAGAATGTATACAATGAAATAAAATCCAGAGCAGTAGCTATGTTAGTCTTTTGCTGATTGTTACTACCATTGTCTTTTATCTGATATCCCTGACTCTCCTATAATTGCCTGAAATCTGAACCTCTTTATTGTCGACAATAAGTGTTAACAAGTTTTTTCTTGTTAAGGAATTTGTTGATTCTTAATTGTTACGAATTCTTATAAAATCTTCCTTCTTTGCTGATTACTCGTAGCCTAGTAAGATTGTCTTCCATGAACACTGTCTTAACAGTAAGTCTGTAAGTGACTGTGGAGGCCAATTCTGGATCCACACATCCTTCCACAGTGGGGACATAGGCTTCCAGATGCGATTTGATCATGGTGAGGGTTTGCCAAGCATGCCTTCCTCTTAGCACTTTTCTCCCTTTCGTTCTGAGTTCGAGCGTCTTCAAAGTCCATGACACCTTTGGTAAAGGCTGTTCTCCAATTGGAGCGCTCACAGGCTGGTGTTTCTCAGTTGTCGGTGTTTATACTACATTTTGGAGATCAAAGCTGGAATAGATTCTCACATTGCTTTGTTCTCAAGTGACAGCTATAACCAAGAATCGAATCTGGGAGCAACTCCCATTGAACTCAATGGATTGGACACATGGGATTGCATTGAGTAGACACACATGGGACTGGCATCTCTATTTCATGCTTTAGGATTGCAGCTGGAGGATGCTGCGCATTGTCCATCTCCCCCACCCTGCAGCACCCACTGCCTGCCTGCTAAATGACTGCCTCATACACCACAGTGGTCAGCCCTGTGTATCAGTCAGACAGGGGCAGGGGCCTGTCTGGAATTTCTCCCACCACTCAGGAACCACAATCAGTATCCCATTTTTAACTGAGGAAGAGCATTAAGGTTTGTGTACCTTACAGAGAGAGACAGAGATGTGCATGTTGTCTCTAATACCTTTGTTTCACTTTGGGTACTGAAGGGCATCATGCTTTCCTGGGAGAAAGGTGGAGTGGGGGCTGTGGCGCCTGATCCAAGGAAAAAAGGAACCTGCGGTAAGTGCCGGGCCTCACAGTGTGGTGCCCAGTGCCAGCCACATTTCGTTACGTTTGTTGACTGAACTAAAAAGTTTTGTGAGCCCAATTTTTTAAAAAAATATTTTTAAAAAACACATCTTTTTGTCATTTTGTCACCCCCTCAGTGATGACACCCGGGGCGACACGCACCCCCTCATCCCTTTCCCTGTCACTGGATGGGAGAAATGGACAGGAGAAGGCCATGACTAGAAGAGAATGTTTGGACAGGTTAGGCAGAGTTGTGCATGTGCATGAGACTTCAGGGGAAACCAGGGTTAATAAGCGAAGGAAGCCTGAAGGGACATTCAGCACCATAAAAGAGGGAAAGCCTTTGTGTACAAGCCCATGACGACACCAATAGCTCCTTGCCCTGCACTCATCTCTGTTGGGAAATCACACAAACGTGGCATCCATGCAGGCAACAGTTTCTATGGAACTGAAACTAGATGTTAGTGCTGCTGTTAGAGCATTGGGGATCTCCACTGAAACACTATTCCACTATTCTCAGGGTTAACCATCCATCTTGCTCTCTAAGCTTGTGTAAATGTCTATACATAATGCAATGGTCAATACACTTCCAAGAAGCCTAGCTTGTTTTGGGGGGAGCAAGCTGTGTTTGCATGGGTGGCGTGGAGGCATTTTGCAGACAATATTTTTAAAAAGAGGAAGAGATTTATGGCGAATAAGTTTTATTTCCTAATTATTGTATCCGTCAGAGCCTGCAGGGGTTCAGCAAATCCCAGAAAACTCTGACAGGCCTGCTACCTTCGTACCACATCTGGGTGTGTGTGTGTATCACACTAGGACAGTTAATGGGAAGGAAACCAGTTCCCTTATATGAGAATTTCCCGTTCCTTCAGGATGTGGTCTCAATGTCACCCGATTCAAAAGACACATCAAAAAGGAAGTGCTTCTGCTGCAGAAATAATAAGGAAGTTCTTAGTGAAGGACCCAGGGGGTTCCCCAAACACAGAGTGATGACACCGCATTGAAATCACCGGGGGCCCTGGCGATGAGGATTTCCCCCTTGTCTGGCAACCTTTATAAAGAGAGGGAGGGAGGAAAGAGACAAACAACAGGGAAACCAAGATTGGAGGGGAACCTTGTGGAGTCCTGCTGCTGCATTGCTATTTTTCATGATGTCTCTCCTGATACTGAACGTGCTGTCTGTGAGAGCTGTGGGAAGGTTTGTATCTTTGCATACGCTGGAGGGGGTAGAGGTCATTGCGACAACAGGGGATTAAGGCTGTGCGGATGGTAGCTGATGCTAGTCCTACTCGGAGTAGATCCACTGAAGCCAATTCATACACTGTACACGACCAACATAGGTTTATTTGTTTCATTGGGTCTACTCTCAAAGGAACTTCACTGGTTGCAATCTGAATGCATTCAATTTTGTTCTTTAAAAACACCCTGGTATGGGCAAGTGGGGAAGCTGTGCATAGAAAGAGCTAATTGGAGGGAAAAGGGGATTATTGAGAAATCATAGGAGAGTTTCCTCTGGCAGTGTGGCCCAATAACAGGGTCACAACATGTCTCGTATAGTAACTTTTTACTTGGCAAGGTAAGTATGTAAGACAAGGTCTACTGGCAGTGGTTTACAACCAATGTGCTGTGGCACCCTGGGGTGCCTTGGAATGATGGTCAGGGGTGCCGCAGGGCAACACTGGCCTCTGTCCCTCTTTCCTTCCCTCTTGGTGTCCCTGCCTCCCAAAGGCTTGCACGGCTGTTTGTTGCAGCAGCCCTGGCTGCAAGCTCCGCAGGTGAATGGTGCCTCTGGGAGGCACCTCTCTTTGAGGTGGGGTGGGGGGCAGCTCAGAGACCAGCCTCCCGGAGGACTCCCAAGGAGAGGGAGAAGAGGCCGAAGGAACACTCCACAAGGGAGGGTGTTTGAAAAGGGGTGAGGGCTGCCAGCTCTGCAGGCAAAGTGTGACGTAACCATGCTTTTGGAGGCTCTTACTTGCCTTTTATCTAAACTAAAAACACCTCAAACATTGCAACTTTCCTCAAAGGGGAAGTTGATCCATCCGCCACAGTTAATTAATAATTTTTGGTTGTACTTTTCTGCATCCTTTTCCCCACCTCTACTTTTTTTTTTAAAGTAGTGTTATTAAAGAAAGTGTTTAATAATGTGAGGTCTGACATAATTATCTCACAGCCTCTCCAGCAATCTCAAGCTGTTCCCATTGCCAAATTCCTCCCAAACTGATTAAGACTAGAGAAACAGCATACGTTACTCAGCGCTTATTTCATTCGAGTTTGGGATTTCTTCCAGGGTTTCACCCCAACTCCTACTTCCTTTCCCATCAAAGAAGCTGGGCATTCTCTGTGTTGGCGGAATCCAGTACAGGGGCCTATCACCATGTAAGTATATTTTGTGCATCTGTGGCAACACAGCTGCTAAGCTTAAAAATGGCAACTAAATCTTCTTGTGAGATAATTTCATATTGCTCTTAAAGGACAATGAAAACGTGTGGATATTTCATATGTGGGCTGGGAAATCTATGGTGTATTTTTAATTTTAAATAGTTAGCACATGTTTCCTTGCACGTTTGATGGGCCCGTAACTGGGCTCTTAATCACTCCAGGTAAATACCGGTACTGCTGCGACAGGAATGGATAATGGCATTTCCGGCGCTCTGGTTTCTGTCACGGTGTTCCCGTTGCTCCCAGAAGCGGTATAGTCATGCTGGCCACATGACTCGGAAAGGCTGTCTGTGGACAAATGTTGGCTTCCTTGGCCTGAAAGTGAGATGAGAACTGCAAACCCTATAGTCGCCTTTGACTGGACTTAACCGTCCAGGGGTCCTTCTTACCTTACCTTTTACATTTTATCTATAGTGGAGACATAACAGAAAAGAAACAGCTGGCAAATGTTGAGGTCCAGTGAGCGTCACTGGAGAGTGTGTAGCACCCTTTTTTGTGCTAAAAGTGATAGTTGTTGTCCATCTATTTGACATCTGTGGGAGGGGATCTTATTTCCCTTCTCATCCCCTAGTCTCAACTAATTATGACATCAAACATTCACATAGAAGAAGAGAAGAGTTTGGATTTGATATCCCGCTTTATCACTACCCAAAGGAGTCGCAAAGTGGCTAACATTCTCCTTTCGCTTCCTCCCCCACAACAAACACTCTGTGAGGTGAGTGAGGCTGAGAGACTTCAGAGAAGTGTGACTAGCGCAAGGTCACCCAGCAGCTGCGGGGAAGCAAACCCGGTTCACCAGATTACGAGTCTACCGCTCTTAACCACTACACCACACTGGCTCTCATAATGAAACCCTTTCTTGACCTGACCTGGATTCTGTTTTCTTTCAGCAACAAAGCAACATATGGAGGCCCCTTGTGTTCTGCTTCCATGGGCAGAAACCACGCTTCAGCTGGGAGAGCCAGAAAAGTTACGGAGGAGACACACCCTGACCACCTTCCTTTTTTCCTGAGAAAACCCTGGCTGTTTCTTTAAGAGATGAAGAACAACTTCCATGTTTCATTTTGCTTCTGAAATCGCTCTGTGACAAGGAGTCACATCTTCATTGCTAATGACTGATCTCGAACTTCCCCCAGGGGTCTTGTTCTACTAGATAAAGGGGGAGAGGGAATTCACTGCATACTTCGCTTAATTTGTTTGGAAACCAGCTACATACTGCAATACCCACCAGTGTTATAATGCAGTACGTAAGACCATTCAGAAAGCACAGCGAAATCACGTTGTTACGTGCAGCCACAGAGTAAAAGAAGGAAAAGCTCAGGGTAGGTCATCGAAGGCGAGGAGGAAGAGTAGTAGCTTTATAACAAAACAGAACCAAGATCAAATTCTGCTGGCGTGGGGAGCTGCAGTCAGAAAAGAAAAGTGTTACACACCAACTTCTGCGGTTCAGTATCATGGTTGGGAGGTGCCCTAATAACACTCCCGTAAAAGCAAACACATCCTAGATGCATTCCAACTTGTGGGATTTGAAGTTTTGAATTTCTATGGCATCAATACCTGTTTTGAATCGGAAATAAAGCAGATGAGAAATGTAATGTGTGGGAAGATTCAACTTCATGGCTTGCACTCAAAAGAACTGGAAAGAGGAACTACCTCCTCCAGTCCATAGCAGGGAGTTGGTTGCTGTGGAAGTGATGAAAGAGCTCAGCTCCCAAGTCCTTTTCTAATGCTCTGACGCCTCCTGATCCAGGTATTTCCTCCATGGGCAGAAGGCTCTGGGTTGATTCATACCTCTAAAGCCACAGAAATCTGCTCTTTCCTTCCCTTTTGGTCACAAGGGTGTTGTCTTGAATTAAATATGTGGCCATTATTATTATTATTATTATTATTATTATTATTATTAGCAATGCCTTTTTTCCAGGGGGTACTCAAGAGTACGCAGTACTGGCACCTTTTTGTTAGAAAGCGTGGCACTTAATGTAACAACATCATGATGAGTACTGGACCTTTTTTTTAAAAAAAAAAGCACTGAAGATTACTATGAATTAAACTTATCAGTCACCTTTTTAACAAAATGCAGCTCACAGCAGCTTACAGCAATAAACAAATAGTACCTGTGTAAGATGTGACATAGGAAATCAGGAGCAATTACATTTACAAAACAAAAACGTAATTGCAATCATAGAGGGTGTGTGTGTGTGTTAGCTGCTAATTTCCCTATAGGGGAAAGCATACAGGTACCACAGTGAGGGAGGAGCAATTTAAATTGGGGGGGGGGGAGGCACAGAATGGTCCTCTCCCAGAACTACAGTCCCAATCTAGCTCTCAATAAAGATGCCCCACTGTTATCTACTCTAAAATGAAAACACAAACACAAACCTGAGAGAGCCTGATCATGGATCCACTGTGTCACATCTGGCTAATCCCTGGGAGTCCAATGAATGGTGCTCCATTTCAGTTACCAAAAGGTAGGCAAGTGATCAAGCAGATCTCACCCCCTGCTCCTTGCTACATCAGGTTCACCACCCTTCTCAGGCAAGTTGCTCCAGACCCTTTTGGTGTGTGTGGATGACCTGACTAATGAGAAGATGAGAGGTTCAATCACCGTAGCCTATTAGTGTTCGGCAGAAAATAAACAACAGGGCGTCCAAAAGAGAACCACAATGCAAAAGTGCCAAAATTAACAGATTTGCTCCTACAAATCCAATATGAGCATGTTTCAGGTGACTATGCTCTTCTTCCCATGAAGCCTTTCCGACTGCTAAAAAGTACTTTCCCCTTCTTTTGGCTTGTAATTTGCAACACGATAGCTCTTAATGTTCCTACATGGGACTTAATTTTCAGCACCCTGGCGTTCTTTTCTATCCCTTTGCATGCACCACTATTCCTCCAAAACGACAATTTCTAATAAAAGAACTGCACAGGATGCAGTAGAGGGAAACGTAGGACTATGTCTCTTCCATGATGTGCTCTGATCACAAGGAGCAATGGGAATTCCCTTACGGTCCTCTTTACTGGGAGGAAATCGTATTTCTGGATACCATTCCCAGACATACAAACAAGTTTTGTATTTTTAACAAAGTGAGGTGGAATTTCTTAACACAAAGAAGTAATCTCTGCTAAAGAAACAGAATTTTTATTTATTAGAAAAAACCCCACGTTATTTTAAGTAGGCCTGACTAAAGCATCTTAAGGCAGGCTGGTGATTGCTATGTTAAGGCAGGTTGCCAGCTCTCTTAACGGCTTAGAAAGCTGAAGTATAAAAGTTGGCAGAAGAAATGTTAATTTTGGGTTGCGCTGGGTTGTTGGGTTCAAAGCTGAAGATGCTTCTCCATTCGCTCCCTCAGTTTGTATTTCTGAATCTAAGATTGGAACAGGAAGGAAAGAAGAAAGGGATTGGTTACAGCATTGCAAACATACTGGTTGTCCCTCTGCAAATATTTTGGTCTATGCCTATGGCCATCTCTCATTTAGGCTACCATAAAGTGCTCTCTCTCTCTATGTTGCCTCACTTTGGGCCCCTCACCTCTACCCAGAACTCTGCTGCCAAAGTCATTCACTTGTCTCTCATTGCTCTGATGATGCAATGCTACTCCTTAAAACCCTACCCTGACTTCCCATCTTCTCCTGGATTCATTCTTGTCCTTTCCTTCAAATCTCTCCAAGTCCTTTCCCCCTTGATCTTGTCATCCTGACATGTCTCCCCTTATGATCTTCACTCCCTGGACTCCACCATTCTCCATCACCTAAAAGTCTCAACCACCCCAAAAAATCCCACCTTCTATTCCTGCTGCCCTTCATATGCTAGTCACTGCCTCCTAGATGCCACCACTCCTACGTCTTCAAATTCCTCTTCAAAACCCACTTGTGGCCCACCCATCTACTAGTTCCATACCCAGTAGTCTGTAACTAGGCCCAAGCCCATGTAACTCAAGCAACTGCAAACACTCCTTCCCTGTTTACGCCACCTCCTCTTCCCCTCCCCTGTGATTCCGCTGTAACCGGTTTAGTTTGCAAGTTCCTCGAGGCAGGGATCTTCCTGCACTCCGCAAAGCACCATGCAACCTACTGGGGCTAAGCAAGCAAAAGCCTTTGGACTGTCACTCACCTTGCCCGAGACGGTGAGCGGGAAATCCTTCACAAACACTATGTACCGAGGGATCTTGAAGTGAGCGATCTGCAAAAGAAAAGCCAATGGCTGTGGACTGACTCAATCTTTATACAGCGGGCTTGCTGTTCCCCGCTTGAGCAGGACTCAGAGCAAGTGCCTCTCCAACATGGAATACAAAACTGCCTTTTATCTAAAGCCATATCCCCAACTGATATTAAGACAGCGGGAGCTTCCACACTAGGCATTTAGTGTGGAACTGCCATGCTTATTCAGTCACTTTTTATGAGGCATCCGCCTGAGGCTGTCATCCTATCATACAGTCCTTCCGTCTTTCCTCAGACTACAGAAAGCCCAGTTGTTTTTTCCCGAAGAACAGAAGAGCAGCCCAAATGTGACAAGCGTACAGTCGTTCCAAAGCATTCAAAAACCAAAGCGCGGCTTCTGATTGGCTGCAGGAAGCTCCTGCACCAATCGGAAGCCGCAAAGCTCCGTCAGACGTTCAGCTTCCAAAAGAACGTTTGAAAACCAGAACAGTCACTTCTGGGTTTC